TGGTATTTATAATTCTTTTTCTATGTGTAAAATGTGTTTTGTAGTTAAATTTTTTGAAAGAGATTCTTGTTAGGGGATGAACCTCTGAAATATATTATTTAGGATTTTAAAACCTATGATTTGGCTTGCTTGGAAGATATAGCAGAAAATTTGTTAGTCTCTAAGCTATAAATTATTTAAGTCAATGGGTTATTTGTGGAGTATTTCCTTTTTGTGATTTCTTAAACTAGCTTTGTTTGCTGAGATTGTGTTTGTCACTTAAAAAAATTCTTTTTCTTCTTTTCCATACTTTATACAGGTCTATTTCTTATTCAGTTAGTTTATTTATAGATGTTTTACATTTAATAAATATAGTGGGAATATAGTTTTGACATCTGGGCAGTATGATTTTTATTTGTTCATTATAAGATTAAAATAGTTTTTATAGTGTTATTTTGGTACCTTAAAAAGAGCTTAACCTGGATATTGGCCTTTAACCATGTTTCCTAAAAGATTTTCTTTTTACTCTTGGTCGCATTTTAAATACTGTATTTGTACCCAGTTATATACATTTGAACTTTTCCATTTCCTGAATTTTAATTTTTTGCTTTTGTAAAATTTTATCAGAAGTTTTATGTAAACACTAAGAGCAGTGTGCTGAATGATATTCTATTGAAGATTTAAAAGGTCTAAGATGAATTGAATTCTGGTAAATAAGAATTTAGAAATTGGGGGTTGGTGCATGGAATTAGATAATCATCTCAAGAGTTTAGGATTCTAGGTTTTAGGCTTGTTAGTCTTCTTTTACATTATCTACCACAGGTTGTTTTTCCTAGAAGTGAATGTTAGTGCTTAATTTGAGTGCTTAATAGGTGCCAGCACTCATCCGTGTCCTCTATAGGTATTAACTCACTCAGTCTTCATGTTAGCCTTCTGACGTAAGTATTTTTAATGTTCCTATTTTAGGGTTGAAAATGTGGCAAAGAGAAGTTAAATGTGCTCAAGATCTCACTTTTAGTTACTAGTGGAACTGGGACTTTATCTGGGCAGTCTGTTTCTAGAACATGGGGCCTTAATCACTATTCTATACTGTATTTTTCATCTGTAAATTAATACTTTTTTGTTATTTGTAGAACAGTGGCTGGCACACAATAAGATCTGTAAGAGTGCTGCTATTTTAATGGCATTTATTATATGCTGTAAGGTGGGCAGAGCACACATTATTATCCATTTATGTATGTATGTATGTATGTATTTTTTTCTCTTAATTAGACTCCAGATTTTATTGAGATTTCTATTATTCCCCCCCTTTTTAATAGCTGAGTTCCCTGAGGTTCTTAGAAAATAGATGTTTGCCTAAAATTATATGACATGCTAGATCTCTAAATATGTCATTGGTTTTGAAAAGCAGAAACAAATATACTAAGATTAAAGTATTGTTTGCATGTCCAGTTGGAGGAAATAAATTCTTAGATGGTATAAAGTTTTTGTTGTTTTTACCTTTAAAGTTTTGAGAGTAGTATTACCTTAATCCTGCTGACTTGTGAAATTGAATCATATCACTCATAGTAACATAGTATTAGAAATTGTTTTGATGATAAAAGATTAGTAGCCTTTTAGAGAAATAATGTAAACCATGTTTCCTCAAACTTAAGAAGTCATCTGTATTAGTTTTCTATTGCTGCATTGCAAGTTGCCACAATTTTAGCAGCTTATCACACAGTTTTTGGGTCCTGTCCTCTGGTTTTACCAGGCTGAAATATCAAGGTGTCAGCCATCTCATCTGAATGAAGCTCAGGGTCTTCTTCAGGCTCACTGATGGTTTGCAGACTTCAGTTCCTATGTTTGTGGGAATGGTGTCCTTGATTTTCTTGCTGGCTGCCAGTCGGGGACCACTCTCCTAAAGGCTCCACTGTTGGGTTCTTACCATTTTATCCTCTCTGTGGGCACACCAACATGGTTGTTTGTTTCTTCCAGGAGAGTAGGAGAATCTCCCTTGGAACCTCTGCCTTTAAGAACTGACCTCTGTAGGTCAGGCCTACAATAATCTTCCTGATTTAAAGGTGGTCAATTAGGGATTTTAATCATCCCTAGAAAACATTCCTTTCTTTCTTCAGTCTTAGATTTATTCCTTCAGTGGCGGGTAAATGATTCTTCGTGAAGCTTTCTAAGCACAATTCTGGGATGTTCTTGGCCTCTACTTTGTCTATACATTTTTTTCCAGAAGATTCAAAGTTGGCTCTCCTAACCCTTGTATGTTCTTGCTAGTTTCCTCATCCACTTTTCTACTTACTGTCTTTGTAGAGCCATAAACAGAAATAATTTTCAACTACAATTCCAACTCCTAAAAAATTTCACATTGTTACTATCTGAGGCTTTTCACCTGTTATAAGACAGTCATAACCCCCAAGACAATCTCAAATTGTAATCATCTCAGGTTTTCTTAATAAGATTCATAGTACAATTTGAATTTTAGGAAACATAAAAGATTTCCCTTCTAGTCATTTCCTATGTTTATTGCTTGTTTCATGTTGCTTGGTGTGTGCAGTGTTTTCTAGTGCAGAAAACACTCTGGGAAGAGTCTTCCTGGAGCATGAGGAAAAGGGACCATGGGAGGACTCAAGTGAAGCTCTCAAAAGCTCATTTAGCTGCCATCTAGCATGGCATTGTCCAGTAGAAGTGTAATGCGAGCCAGATAACTAAATTTAAGTGATTTTGTTGCTACATTGAAAAAACGAAAAAGAAACAGGTGACAATTTTAATAGTATATTTTTTAAACAATACATATCCAAACTATAATTTCAGCAGGAAATCAATATGAAAGCTATGAAAACTTATTAAAGATTTTAGATTCTGATTTTAGCACTAACTTTGATATCTGATTCATACTTTATACTTAATAATACATCTCAATGTGGATTTAGCCATATTTCAAGTGTTCACTAGCTAGTGGCTGCCACATTGGTCAGTGCAGATGTAGATTATGAAGTTTTTTAAAAATTAGAGACAGTAATATATGAACTCTTCAGGAAATTGGCTTGAATAATGTTTGACTCTCCAATAGGTTAGGGTAGTGGTCGGCAAACTCATTAGTCAACAGAGCCAAATATCAACAGTACAACGATTGAAATTTCTTTTGAGAGCCAAATTTTTTAAACTTAAACTGTATAGGTAGGTACATTGTTATTAACTTAATTAGGGTACTCTTAAGCTGGCCTTTGCTAAAAACGTCCTCAATCTGATTGAGGTACTTTCGCTGAGGTCGACCCCTTCCAACTCTCCCATCCACACTTGTCTTGTATACTTGTTTCAGATAGACGAGTGTGGATGGGAGAGTTGGAAGGGGTCGACCTCAGCAAACGTACCTCAAAACAATGTACCTCCCCCGCGCTGCGTATCCCGTGGCTTGCCTGCGCAGCATCTCCTGTCGCCCGACCGACACCCCCCACTTCTAACGCCACTTCTTCAAAAAAGACTCGCCCAGGCCAAAAACTGACTTCTACGCATGGGCCACGAAGTTTCAATCGCACTGTATGTGCGCGCCCACACGTGGTATTTTGTGGAAGAGCCACACTCAAGAGGCCAAAGAGCCACATGTGGCTCGCGAGCTGTGGTTTGCCAACCACTGGGTTAGGGCGTTGGTGTTTCAGAATGATTTTTATGGGTGTTATACAAAGTTTTTTGTTTATAAAGTTAAATACATTTTTATACATTTCCCTCATTATATAAGTAATGTCATTGTTGAAAATTTGGAAAACTCTCGATAAGAGACTACAAATTGACCTTATTTCCTCAATCTCAAGATAACAAATGTTAACTTTTGTTGAATTTCCTCTTTGTGAATGTTTCATTTTCAATCAAAGAGAAAATAGGTTTCTTTTTTTTTGTTCTTTATTCCTTCCTCTTTATATTCAGTCACATTAACTTTTATTGACAGTCCTTTTGCTCCTTTGCTTAAATTTAATTATTTCTATTTCCCAGGCTATATCCAGTCTACAGATTATCTGTGAGGGGTGCTCTCTGGAGCACAATACCCCGAATGGTGCTCCCTGGATTGGGATTAACAATAGAAGCCCTGATGGCTTTTATGTACTCATTGCTAAACCATTATAGTTGCTCTCTATTTTTCCTGACTGCAGTCTTTTACACATTCCCTCAGCTTTCTTTGTTATTGAGATATAACTTTACATACCAGAAAATTTACCCCTTTGAAGTATACAATTTAGTGGGTTTTAGTATATTGACAAAATTTTGCAAGCATCACTGCTACCTAATTCTTTAGCATTTTCATCGCCTTGAAAAGAAACCCTATTTCCATTAGCAGTCCGCATTTCTCCTCCCCGTAGTTCTCAGGCAAGCACCAATCTATTCTGTTTTTATAGATTTGCCTATTTTGGACATTTTATGTAGATAGAATCATGCAATATATGGCCTTTTGTGTTTAGCTTATTTCACTCAGCATAGTGTTTTCAAGGTTCTTCTGTGTTATGCCATGTACCAGTACTGCATTCTTTTTTATGGCTGAATAGTATTCCATTGTATGAAGATACCACATTTTGTTTATCTATTCATCACTTGATGGACATTTGGGTTGCTTCCAATTTTTGGCTAGTATGAATAATACCCCAGCTTTTGAGATCACATTTATTCTCCAAGAACATTGTTTCTTCACATTCTTGTTCAAATGTTCAGTGGCTATTTATTGCTCATACAGCATAATAGAAAATATTTAGTTTGCATTAAAAGTTTTACAAAGTGTGACCTCAAGCCACTTTTCTTTTCACTCTTCTTTTCCATTGTGGTGTTTCTTAGTATTTCTAAAATAAGTGCTACATATGAATGATAGATTATGTAGACAATATAGATACGTTTGTCAATTCAATTCATTTTAAAATGATCTAAAATTTTAAGAATGATGAATGAATGTGTATAAATATTGTATATGTACATATTCGGGAGACTTAGAAAGGCAAGTATTAGAACAGAGTACCGAGAAACACTAAGTAGAACAAAGAGGATTTTTTTTCTGGATTTATTCATTGTGTCAAACATAGATCTATTCATTTTCATATAATATGAAAAAACACCTCATTTGAATCAGCATTTGATACATGTAACTCATTCATATCATTCATTTTCTGGTTAACACTATTAGCAGTTTGTTTATTCTGGGGCTTCAGTTTTATTTTTCCTCTTATCCAGATAGAGTCAGTCCTTTTCTCCTTTTAACATGTCTGAAATAATAAAGGTGAAATATTTTAACATATAGAGTACTTAAAAATATTTCCAGAATGTTTTTATGTGTGCATGCATACACACACACACACACACACACACACACACACACACCCTCACAGAAATGTTTAGTGGTATTCTCTTCCATTTTATAAAAAAGAGAACATAGTATACAGATTTTTTTTTATTTCACAATATATCTTGATATTTTCATAATAATGGTACATTGAGAACTTTCTTATTTATTTTCTGCAGGATACTTTCTCCAAAGTGAAATTACTGGATCAAAAGCTGTATCTACTTGAAATTTGATTACCTATACTGGTAAACATAAAAAAAGAAATAAGGAAATATAAACAGGAAGAAGGAAGCTATGGATATTTTGGACTTTGTTTATAGATAAAAAAGTGGAGGACCAGAAAATTTGAGTAATTGCCCATGATCATGCCACCAGTGCAGGGATCAGGATGCTAATCCAGATGTTTCTGATTTTAAATAAGCTCCCGTCCTTTCTGTTATATTCATACTAGGGGCCCAGTACACAAATTCATGCATCTTGAAAGGAACTGTGGGCCACAAAGCTGCAGTGGGCACAGGGGCGGGTCTTGAGCCATCTTCCGTGCCCCCACCTGGCCCCTCCCACCGTGGCCCTCGGTTCCCTCTCTGCCGGCAACCCTGCTCCCACTGCTGCTGCTCCCACCCACTGACAGCGTGGAGCAATTGGGGCCAGTGCCAGCAGTGGGTGCGAGCAGGGCCAGCACCATCAGCGGGTGTGAGTGGCAGCTGCCGGCCCCGATCGCCCCTCAAGAGCAGGGGGAGATGGAGAAGCCATCAGGGGCAATTGGGGCTGGCAGCCGCCGCTTGCACCCACTGATGGCGCCAAGCTATCAGGACCAGCACTGGGCGCTGGCAGCGAGTACAAGCGGGGCTGGCCCTGGCAGCAGGTGCGAGTGCCGGGCGGGATTGCGGCGCACGGGAGCAAAGAATTTTCAGTAACCACCAGAGGCTCGCCCCGATGACAGTGACCGGCGCCCTACCTTGATCTGGTGCCCCTGCTCACCTGCTCCACCATCCCGCCACGCCCAATGCCTGCCTGCCATGTTCTATGCACGCCCCTGGTGGTCAATGCACGTCATAGTGACCGGTTGTTTGGTTGTTCCACCGTTTGGTCTATTTTCATATTAGCGTTTTTTATATGTAGATTGCACTTGATGAGCAAAAGGGAAGAGGACTCATGCCAACTTCTTTTTGGAGAGAAATAATAGATTTCCAGACTTTTTTTCTGCATTAGTACTTTAGGAAGATTTATGTTTTTCTAATAACTAATGATGTTAGGCATTTTTTGTATGTGCTTATTGACCATTTATATATTTTCTTTGGAGAAATGTCTATCCAGTCCTTTGCCTATTTTTAATTTGGGTTTGTCTTTTTGTTCTTATATGGTAGGAATTCTTTCTATATTCTGAATATTCATCCCTTATCAGATATATGGTTTATAAATATTTTCATCCACTTGGTAGGTTGTCTTAATTTCTTGGTAATGTCTCTTTATGTACAAATGTTTTTAATTTTGATAAAGTCCAATTTACCTATTTTTTCTTTGACTGCTCATACTTTGGTATCATCTGTAAGAATCTATTGCCATGGTCATGGCAATCCAAGATCATGAAGATTTACCCCTGTGTTTCTCTGGAAGAAGCTTGTGATTTTAGCTTGTATTTAGTTCATTGGTCTAGTTTGAGTTTACTTTTGTATATGGTGTTTATTCCTACCTTTGTATGTGAAAATGCAGTTGTCCCAGCACTTTGTTGAAAACGATTTTTTGTTCATTGGACTTGGCGCCTAATTGGCTATAGATGTATGGTGTAATGTCTGGACTGTCAGTACTGTTCCACTGGTGTATATGTCTATCCTTATGTATCATGGTGTTTAGAATATATATTTCTCATGTGTTTATTTACTTAAAAAAACTCTTTAGGCACTTTAAGTGCTATTTTTACTCTTTGGTCTTAATAAAACCAAAATTATAAGTCACTTTAAGCATTAAACATACTGCACTTAGTAAATTCTAAAGAAATAAATTTAGTATCACATGATGGATACTCTCTTGGCTTCTGTGGAAAGCATGAGGATGCATAAGACTTGTTTCTGTTTTCTGAAAAATTGCAGTTCACTAACTTAAAAAAAAGTGCTATAGTTTTGCTTTGCCATTCTCGTTTTTGTGTGAGTCCAACATTATGATGTCCTTAGGAATTAAGTATAGGAAATTCCTGTTACAAAAAAATTGGAATGTTTAGCTATTATAGTATCACTATTTCTTTTATTTTCATATGGTTTGCATCTTTACTCTTAATAAGCACCCAATTTTACCACTCTCCTTATCTTTATACTAGAGGCCCGGTGCACGAATTCATGCATGGGTGGGGTCCGGCCATCCCGTCCCGCTGGGGGCCTATCGGGCCGGGCCTGTGTGTGTGGGGGGAGGGGCTGCAGGCGGTTGGCCAGCCGCCCTGCCCCCGATGGGGGTGTTGCAGGCCAATTGGGGGCCAGGCTGGCTTGGGGGGCGGGTAGCAATCAGAGCCTGGGTCAGCTGGTTGGCTGCCACAGTGCGCGTCATAGCCACCGGTCATTCTGGTCGTTCTGCCATTCCAGTCGCTGGGCTCTTATATATATAGATAATTTCCGGCTGATAATATTCTACAAGTAGTTTTCTAGAGAATGGTTTCATCCTGTTTTAGTTTTTTTTTTTAAAGACTAAGCTATTGTAACACAAATGCTGCAAAACATAGTATATCATTGAATCTTCCTTGGGCAAATTTATATTCTGCTGCTGAGACTCATTCCCTGTGTGTTGTGCATGTAATGTGATGGGCAATCATAATGTGAACTTTCAAGGTGATATTTTAGTAGTTGATAACAATGTTCTAAAGAATGTGCTCTGCTCATAAGGATAAACTTAATTATGTTCATCCTTAATCTTGTCCAGAATAGCACTGTCTGACAGAAATGTAATTTGAGCCACATACTGTATTAATTAAAAAATTTCCAGTAGCCTCATTAAAATAGCAAAACATGGTTAAATTAATTTGAATATATTTTACTTAACCTGATATATCCAAAACATATCATTCTAACTGATAATCAATATAAAAATATTGAGATAGTTTACTTTTTTGGGGGTACTAATTCTTGGAAACCTGGTATTTTACATCTCAATTTGGTCACTAAATTTTCATCAGAAATACTTGGTCTTCATTTAGATTTCATAGTTTATGGTTGGAAATATAGATTCACATACCTAAGTTGTTTCCAACATTCTTATGACTTTTAATATTCGAATTAAGTACCAAAATAACTTTCTTTCAATATTTGCACCCAAATGGATAAAACTAATTCATGCTTTTTTAGTAGAATGTATTAGACTCTGAAGTAAAAGTTTGTTAATTTCAAAACTACGCTACTCAAATTAAGCAAATTCACTAACTCTTGTGTCAACTCAGTATTATTAACATCAAATTCCAAAGGACATTGTATAAGTTGAAAAGCAACTCTAAATTTTATCAACTGTTTTATGTCATTTTTATAGCCAGTTTGCACAATTCTATCCTTTATAATGAAAAAACTTTTTACGTAAGAAACATCTTTTGTATTTTGCTCTGCCACAGCTAATTGTAATTTTCATTAATAGTAAAATATCTTTCAATCTCACTTCACTGTTCTGGTCATAGTGCTAGTAGTTTCCAAATCTCCACTTGATGCTGCATAGGTAGAATACCTTCATTTTAATTTTAAAAATTTGTCTACCACTTCCTTTGTCCATTTGTTTTTAGAGTTAAAGAAAGTAACTTAATTATATTCAAAATATTAAAATTTAAAGAGCAACTAAAATTAAAGTGAAAAAGTATCTCTATTTAGTTACCAATTTTAATTTACATAGGCATCACTGCAACTTATTTGCCAAAAAAATTAAGTAAATATATTGCACTGCTATTATATTAGTGTGTAGAAAAAAAAATTTCAGCCGAATAGTTAATTGATACTGACTAGATCAGTTTTATTTCTGTGTAATACTAGAAATGAGTCACTATATTTCTACATGTACAGTTTAGTGTGCAGTGCAGTGGTTACAATGAAATGTAGACTCACCAAAACAATAAAATTATCTTTAGCAGAAGGACATTTTACACTGCTTCAGTTTTTATATTTAGAAAAAATTAATTATAATTAAATAAAAATTCAATTCCTTATTAACACTGGTCACATTTCAAGGGTTCACATGCAGCTAATGGCTAATATATTGATTGGTTACACTAGTATACTGTACTTCCAGGACTGGAAATTAAAACTTTGAGAGTTGGTTATATATTTTCTTAAAGTATTTTGGAGACTGGGGACTAGGGATTATAATATTTTTTGTTAATGCTAATGTCACAGGCAGAGTCCCAAGAAGACTTTTGAATCAAGAACCCTGGAAAAAGCTGCTTATTTTCTTTGTAGCATGCCTTATAGTCCTGAAGCATTAACAAGGAAATGAATAAATAAATAAAAAAAAATAAATAAATAGGAAACGTTTAACATGTTGTTTATGGGTAAAATGATATTTAGTAATTAAAAAAGCATTTGGACACACACATTTTATTTGAAACCGTGGCTTGATCCCCCTGTTATTAGAATACTTAAAGAGTAGAAAAATGTTTACATTCTAAAAACTTTTTATCATGTTGGTGAAAGACCAAAAAAAAAAAGGTGTGTGTAATTTTGTTTAAATCCCTTCTCACAAGTAAAATTAAGAATGTTTTATCTATAGAGATCTGTAGGGCTCTTATCAGGTTTACAACAGTCCTTTAGATTAGAAATGGACTTTCAGTTGACATGAATTGTGGAAAGATTGTTAATGGTGTTCAAATATTTAATATTTGGATAAATAGGAAAATGTTTTATTAAATATACTTAAACTCCTTTGGTTTCTTAAGTTATGAGAGTCCATATCTCAACTATTTAGAGCACCAAACTTTTTTCTTTTATTTACAGGGGTTGGCAAAAGTAGGTTTACAGTTGTTTGATACTGTGACAAGATCAGTTTTTCTACACAAATGTAAACCTCCTTTTGCCAACCCCTGTATCTGCTATTGTCTTTTGAGCAAGCCAAGCAATAAGTTCTGCATGTTTCTGATTTCCACAAAATAGATGAATGCTCTTACCAGGTTTTGTTCATTCCTACTCATGATCTGTGAATACAGGGAGATGTCTCAAGACCTGTTTTAAAAATTAGAAGAGTAAGTCCATGAAGACGGAAGTACAACTTGTCTTGAGAAAATTTTGCCCGCTAGATTGTTTCCAAAATGCATTCTATAGTAGTCATTAGAGATGATTCTTGAATAAAGGGTTCTGTGGTTAAGTAAGTTTGAAGGAACATTGTATACATAATAATGACCTATTAAAGATTCACAATGCACAATGATATATTAAAGACTGAGGCATCTTACAGAAAGAAAGTTCTTATCCTGCATTTCACCTGTCTATCCAATGAGAAATGCTGCCCTCTAGAGGCTCAAATTTAATTGCTCTTGCATTTGAGTACCATAATGCTGCCTCATCTTTGTGACAGTTCATACTAAATACATAATAGAAAAATCTTATATTGCTTAATTTTAAGAAAATTTGAGATGGAAAGCAATGTAATAGATGCCCCTTATTGGACATAGGCCATATTTATTGCTGCTAATAATCTTTTAAATAAATTTACTTTATATAGGGCATTATGGAAACATATTACAGGTCTCCAAACTCTGAAGTTTCTTGCTGACAGAAGCTGTCTTTCCTTGTCTTCTTTGAAGACCTATAACAATCTTGCTTATGACAGTTACCGTTCAAGGAAGCTAGCTTCCTCCTACCCCCTTCAATAATCCTTGTTGTTTACAGAACTCTAACTGGAGTGATATTGTAACATGCTTTGCCTTTGCATAGGCAAAAAAGGAAGAAAAGCATTATCTATCAGCATTAAAAGATTTTTGCTAACATCTTAGTAATAACCTCAGGAATATGTAGAGAAATGGGTTCTGATGATGAGAAGGGAACATGCTTTTTGCATTTGGCTCCGTATACTGACATGGGGCAATTACCAGAGATTCTGGATTCAGTATTCTTGCTCAAGCAGCTAGGATGTGTTGTATTGTTTGCTCCCTTGATTGCTTTCAGCATTGATCTATAGTAAATGATGTTAAATGCCTAAACCAGTGATGGCGAACCTTTTGAGCTCGGCATGTCAGCATTTTGAAAAACCCTAGCTTAACTCTGGTGCCGTGTCACATATAGAAATTTTTGATATTTGCATCCATAGTAAAACAAAGATTTATATTTTTGATATTTATTTTATAGATTTAAATGCCATTTAACAAAGAAAAATCAACCAAAAAATGAGTTCGCGTGTCACCTCTGACACACGTGTCATAGGTTCGCCATCACTGGCCTAAACACTCATGGTATAGTTAGAGGAAGAACTCAAAAGATTAAGGGAAATAGGACTGGTGGAATGGATTTTTCAATGAGACCATCCCCACCTCTCCATGTTCCCACCATTATCCACAAAGAGGTCTAGGAGATACTTCATTCACCAAGGTAATGAGAAGTACTTTGATGACAGTTCCAGCATCTATGGAAAGCAGTACACTGTAGTCCCCCTTTATCCATGGTGTGAGTATAAAATGGTAGAGCCACTTTGGAAAACCATTTGGCAGTTTCTTATAAATTTAAGCATTATACCTACCTTTGGAACCAGCAGTTCTAGTTCTTCTCCTGGGTGTTTTCCTAAGAGAAATGAAAACATGTCTACAAAAAGCCTTTTAAAATAATGTTTAGAGCAGATTTATTCATAGTAGCTAACAACTGGAAACGACCCAAACGTCAATCTATAGGATAAGTGGTTAAAAAGTTTTCATATGTTCATACAGTGGCATACTACTCAGTAATAAACAGGAAAAAACTTGCATGCCAGTGACATGGATGGCTCTCACAAACTCACCCAGTGAAAGATGCTGGACACAGTATGCTCTGATTCCATTTATATTAACTCCTAGAACAGGCAAAGCTAATCTGTGGTAAAAAGAATATTGAACAATGGGCTAGTTCTTTAGTTATGGGAAGTGCTGATGCTCAGTTGGGAAGGGGCATAAGGGAGTTTCCTGAAGTGAAAAAGTATAGAGGTTACAGGAGTGTACTTGTCAGAGTAGTATGGTAACGGAGTGTATATGTCAGTGTATGTAAATTTTACCTTAAAATATGAGAATAAGTTGGGTGGCAGGGAGTGGAGGGTTCAGATGAAACAAGAATAGCAGGATGTTGATGATTGCTAAAGTTGGGTAATGGATACATATGGGTTTATTATATTCTGTTTATTTTGTGTTTGAAATTTTCAACATAAAAAGTTTTTTTTAATACGAATGTTATGAACACACATACATAGCACCTATGTTCTCACCACCACCTTAATAAAACTTTGCCAATATAATTGTCCTACCCTGTGAACCACACCTTAATTCCACGATCCCTTCCCCCATCAGCCATTCTCCTAAATCCCTTCTAACTTTTAAACATTTTCCAAATATCAATCTAAAGGTCACTTCCTTGAAAGAAAGGCTTTCCTCATTCAAAACACTCAGTAGGTTAAATGCCCCTTCTATGTGTATTCATGGCTTTTATCACATTTGTGATCTATTTGTTTGATTAGTTCACATCAATCTCTCCAGTTTTCAGAGAGCAGAGTATATTTATTTTGCCCTGTTAATGACTAGCATAATAAATCTATTGGATGATTGTGCTGTTGTAGTTTTTTCTTTTGTATTAAAGATACTAGGGGCCCAGTGCACGACTTCGTGCACCTTGAAAGGAACTGTGGGCCACGAGGCTGCTGTGGGCACAGGGGCAGGTCTTGGCCCATCCTCCGCACCCCTGCCTGGCCCCTCCTGCTGTGGGCCCCAGTTCCCTGTCTGCTGGCAGCCCCGCTCCCACCGCTGCCGCTCCCACACACTGATGGCGCCGGCCCTGCTCGCACCCGCTGACAGCGTGGAGCAATTGGGGCTGGTGCCAGCACCGGGTGTGAGTGGCAGCTCTGGCACCGACAGTGGGTGTGAGTGGGGACGTCGCCTGCAGCGGGTATGAAAGGCAGCTGCTGGCACCGATCACCCCTCAGGAGCAGGGGGAGGTGGAGAAGCCTTGAGGGCGATCGGACCCGGCAGCTGCCACTTGCACCCACTGATGGCTCTGAGTGATTGGGGCCGGCACCAGGCACCGGCAGCAGGTGTGAGCACCGGGCGGGACCATGGTGTGCAGGAGCAAAGAATTTTCAGCAACTAGCAGAGGCTTGCCCTGATGACAGCAAATGGTGCCCCGCCTTGGTCTGGCGCCCCCGCTCACCTGCTCCACCATCCCACTGTAGTCGATGCCCGCCAAGTTCCACACTCTGCCTCCTACTGCTGATGCCCACCATGTTCCATGCGCGCACCCTAGTGGTCAGCACATGTCATAGCAACCGGTTATTCGGTTGTTCGGTTGCTCGACCATTTGGTCTATTTGCATAGAAGGGTTTTATATATATAGATATATAGATAAGAATTGAAGAGCTATTATTGCATACTTTAGTGAGTATGTTATAAAAAGTTATGAATGTGAGAGAATGATTGATAGGTAGTAATTCTTTTTTATTTTATTGGCATTTGATAAAAAAGGAGAAATAATACTGTGTGCTTTGATCTTGAACCATGTCCAAAAAGCCTGCCATTTGGTTCTCAAATGCTCTTGAGTTTTATAATTTTCTCTTTCTATTTTCTTTTTTTTCAAAAATATGTTTTATTGATTTTTTTACAGAGAGGAAGGGAGAGGGATAGAGAGTTAGAAACATCGATGAGAGAGAAACATCGATCAGCTGCCTCCTGCACACCCCCTACTGGAGATGTGCCCGCAACCAAGGTACATGCCCTTGACCGGAATCAAACTTGGGACCTTTCAGTCTGCAGGCCGATGCTCTATCCACTGAGCCAAACTGGTTACGGCTCTTGCTATTTTCTTACATGGAAGCTATGCAAATAAAAGACCCCTTTCCTATTTATAAAGATTACTCTAAATACCTCTTTTTTTTCCCCTCTGCTCTAAAGTGCTTTCTCCTTTGCCTATTAGTTTTGATGTTTAGTATCAGGGATGATGATCTTTAAGGGCTCCCTATTTTATTTTTTATACTGATAGAGTATATTTTAAACTTCCAAATGAAGTTATGAACTGATAAATAATAGATTGCTAAAAATGCTTGATTGTAATTGCACCACTGAATATATTATCTCTAATACAAATACAAAATAAAAGTGTTGAATGGAAGGGAATGCTTTTGAATTTTGCTATTTTGTATATCCATGGAATACTTGGGCAGATTAACAAAGTAGTTAGATTTCTGTTATGATTTTTTTAAAATGTTTATTTATTTCAGAGAGAGGAAGGGACAAAAAAGGAGAGAGAGTGAAATATCAATGATGAGAGAGAATCATTGATTGGCTGCCTCCTGGCCCCCTACTGGAGATCAAGCCCACAACCCTGGCATATGCCTTGACTGGGAATCTAACCATGACTTCCTGATTCGTAGGTTGACACTCAACCACTGAGCCACACTGGCTGGGCTGTTATGATTGTTTTTAACTGTTGTCTCTTCTTGGGATAGAGCATAGTATAGTATTAAGAGTGTGGAAGATTCAAGCCAGGGTTGAGTCCTGGTTCTCCTATTTCCTAAGCTGCAGGACTGATCAAGTGACTTAGCTGTTTTGTGGATCTGAAGTTATTGAAAATAGAAGCTTTTGGGCATTCATGAGTGACTTTTCTAAAAACAAAACAAAACACACACACACACACACAAAAACCCAGACCTGAGTGCCACATACCTTTTCTTACAACTTTTTAATGAGTGCCCATTGCATGGAATAAAGTCCAAATTCTAGAGCGCAGGGCAAATGTGGCTCTTAAAGAACTAACAGACATTTTCTACTAATTTCTTATATGCACAATACATTCCAGCCTTACTAAATTAATTAAAAATTTTGAATTTACCGTGTTTTATCTATCTTGTTTTATATATAAGCTATTCTCTAAGCCTAAAATTTACTTTCATTTATTTAGCTTAAAAACATCTCCTCATTGAAGATTTTTTTATCTTGTCTCAGTTCAATTAATTGTATCATGCTACTATATTTATTAAACACTATTAAAAACTGCCTTACAATTATTTTTAAAAAATGCCCATCTTTTTTCTTAAATTGAGTTGCTTGAGGGCAAGGACTGTGTATTAATCTTCATAGTATCTTCCATGCCTTGCTTACTATAGTTGATCAATTAATGCTGATTGGGTAAGTGAACATTTTTGTTTTTCATTTTGAGAATATTATAGGGATTATTCCTTTAGTTGTTTATTTGAAGTTGGCAGAAATTTCTAGACAGATTGGCTCTATGGACAAACAAAAGAGAATAATTAAATAAAATATAAGTAGTTTCATCTAGGAACAGTTTTCTGAAGTTGGAACTAATGTGTTAAGCTATTAAATTACCTAGAGTGGAAGGACAAATTTTTAGAATGATTATGTTTTACTTGTTAAAGTAAATGGCACATAAGAGAACTTTTAAATTCCTATGGCAAAAATGGGAAAATTGCAAAGTTAGAGTCTCTGAGGTTTCTGATGTTTCATAGACTAACAAAAGGTTGCTTTATTAGCAGCGTTAATGAACGAATCGCTTTATTGGCTTAGGCATACTGGTAGCTTTGTCAGTCCAAAGAGCTAAGAGTTCTTATTTCAATTCATGATTATGTTAGAGTAGTGAAGTGAAAGCCGTTGACCTTCTCTTAAGCAGAAAATAGAAAGTTTTCACAAATAGATTAAAGCATTAAAGGGAATGTGATAAAGAACTAACTTGTTATCAAATCACTTAAAAAATTTGAGTTAAAAATTTTTTTGTGTGTGTACTGATTTTACACTAGTAGGTTTTAAAAATAGACTTATTAATTGGAAATAAAATAATAACTTTAATAGGATGGTTTTGTAGAGTTAGGTCTAAATGATTGAAAAAACTGAGTTATTAGAATGGATGAACTTTTAATTCTTCAAATGGTGACACATATTAAGAGCAATATAAAAGGCAGGAAATATTAAACTTTAGAGAAGGTGTAATGCCCCTCATATGGCATGCCTTCCAGGTTATTTTTTATTTAAGTAAATGAAATGCATTTTGCTTAATAGAATCATTTTTGAAGTGTTGATTTGCTTCTGTCCATTAATGTCAGAGATTAAAGTAGAAGAGGTTACTGGGAGCCTGTTTCTAAATTAAAGTTCTTCAAAGCAATAGTTTTAAATACCAGGAATTACAGAACTAAGATTTGTATAGCAGCAATTCATTTTAAAAATTAAATTTCTAAACGATGGAATATTTAAAAATATAAAAAATACAAGGAAGAATATAAGATGCTCATGTATCCATATTGTCAAAATAAGCAAATATTAACATTTTGCTGTAATTGTATTAGAACTTTAAATTAAATTGAAAATATACTTTAATATTACTAATTAATTCTTTTGCCTCCCTCCAAGACATAATTACTAAACTGAAGGTATCCTTTAAGTTTTTATACTTTTATGCACACATTTATAAAAAGAGTAAACAATATTGATTTGTTTTTAAGATGTAAATAAATAGTATTACATTGTTTACATCCCTTTGTAATTTGCTTTTTTCACTCAATGTTCATTTCAAGATTATCCATGTTGATATAAGTATTTAAA